ACCTCTGGGAAATTACCCGAGAACAACGGCCGTTCGCCTTGCACCCTTGGAAACCAACTGACTCTATTTTTTTTTCTTCAAAAACTAACTAAAGTCTCATTCTCAAACCAACCATCCCACCTTTTTCAATCTCATCCAATCAAAACGCGTCATACATCTCCCATTTCTTCATTTCGATAACACAAACAAATTTTTACCTACAATTATAAAATTTCCTAAAACTTATTTACAAACTAATCTTTTTCTACCAATTCTTATGTTCTAACAAAAAACATATCTTTCTAAAATCTATTCTATTGTCCTAATTACTGCACAAATTTATTTGGAAAACCCGCTTCCATTGTCTAGGATTTCACTTAAGCTTATTCACGTCACTCAAATATATTTATGCAAACAAAGAAGAATTTATAAAAACAAAGAAAATAATTTATGCATATCTTACGTTTTGTTCAATATAGGTAATCCAAAGATAAAAGGACTTTCATTCTTCGAAATGTTTGTAGTTTATTATTCGACTTATCTGAATTATTTTAATTTTTTCAACTTTGTAATATTTTAAGCAAACCAATATTTTACTCGATTTTATATATCATAAATATATATATATATATATATATATATATATATATATATATATATATATATATATATATATATATACCCGGTATTTAGGCGGCACACGCCCTTCCGGTAGGGATCTATGATGGAGGAGTATCACTAAGTCGCAAGCCCTTATCTCTTGCCGTACTGCTCCACCATAGGCCGATCAGATACCAGCATATTCTAGACTAAGCCGCAGATTCATTTAGGATTTTAAACTGCTGCGTTAGCCTTTTTGTTTTCTCTACACCGAGCTGGGGATTGAACTGACATCTCCCGCATTGAAGCGCCAGCCGCCCAACCCGCTTGGCTATCCGATCGACGCCGAAGACGAAGATGTGGGTTAGAAAGTTGTAAAAGTAAAGTGAGAACAGTATGCGTCAAATGTACTTAATGTTGGATTATGTGTACCATGTTTTGTTACCTATCACACTCAAAAATGAATTTAGTTTTTATACTTAGTTTGTACTTTTTTATACTTGTATTTATAGGTTTTTTATTCAATAAAAATGCATTCATTTGTTTGTCGTATATGTTCTGTGATCTAATAGGTTTATTAGATCACAGAACAAACGAAACAGTTATTTTACAAAAACGAAAAAACAGCTGTCGTCGTCGCTGTATGTGGTAGTCATGTTTTCTATTTTAACTATTTGATGTGAATTATACATATGTATAAGGTTTAGATCCAATATCTGTGGCCTAGAGAGCCCGATCTTTGTTTTTAATATGTTGTTTGTCCACAATTTTCCTTCTATGAAGTATTTATTGCCTAATTGACGATAGCTCGGATGATGACATTTATTATGTCGAAAGTATACTAAGCTTAAATTTTACACACTATCAATTTTATTGAAAACATAAAAAATCCGCTTACCAGTTAGACCTATGATACAATAGACAGAAACAAATTAATAGAAGTGCTAAAAGAATTCCAAGTGAAAGAAAAAATAGTAAGATTTGTCGAAATGACAAACCATTTGTGCTGTATAATGTAACAGTCTCAGAAGAATTCGAAGTGAAAAAAGGTGTTCGCCAAGGAGACCCGTTGTCGACATTGCAATACAGTTCTAGAAAAAATTGTAAGGATTAGTGGGATAAATAGGTCCGGCATTTTTTTATCTAAAGAGCACCAATGCTTAGCGACCGCTGATGATGTGTTTCTCACTGCAATAAATAGAAAAGAACTGGCAAATATAGCAAAAAGACTGATTCTGGAACTGGTTCGAGAAAACTCTCAAATGGGACTGAAAGTTAATATTCATAAATTAAAGTACATGGAAATCTCGAGCAAAAAAGGAATAAATACCAAGGGATCCTTTAAATTGGAAGTGAAAGATGGATCAGTTGTAAAATTTGAGAAGGTGGATGAATATATGTACTTAGGTACTCTTATTGATCAGACATGTAAGCAAAAAACTGAAATCAACCTGAGACTGACCAAGAGCAAAATGTGTGTTGGAGTCATGAGCAAAATACCATACAACAAAACCATACAGAACACATTGGAAGCATGGGAAAGGCAGATATGTCGCAGAATGTTTGGAGGAAAAGTAGTAGAGAGAGAATTGAGAAGATGAACTAAAGTAAATGTGAACCAGTTATATGCTAACACTACAATAACAAAAGTAGTGAAAAAAACAGAATGGCTCAGACATCTAAAAAGAATGCAAGGTAATAGACAAGTCAAGAATATTGGTAGGAGAGTACCAGGAGAGTACAAGTGGCAGATCTGCTTGTGCCTTATTCTTAGCCATAAGCTAGCAGGTGCCTGTACTTTTCAAATACCTGTAGAATGCATTTCCAGATCTTCTATTCTAAACATGGTGGTTACATCTTTGATGTTACATCAGGCCCTTATGTTTCTTAGCCAGCCATGAAGGTTTGAGAATGTGGTATATGCTTCCACTAAGGATATGGCAAAAGTAGGAAATTTTTCTTTCCATAACAATGTTGAGTAGATCTTCAATTCTTAAAATTCCTTCATTCATGGTATATGCAGTTCATAGCATTTATAAAAGTCTCAATATTTCATCAGGTGACAAGTAAAACTCACTAAGTACCATATTGAACAAACAGAAATATTGGAGTTTTCAAGCAAATTCTAATGTAAAAAATCCATTTCTGAATTAATGATAAAACGGAAGGTAATTATTTTGAGAAACCCTTTAAGCTACCTTATCTTATAGAGTTTTTAAAATTATTTTTGACGTTTTTGAGAAAGAAATAATGAGTGAATTTTACCTGCCGAAATATTGCCTAATCATGCTATAACAGAAAGTATACTCAATAAAGGAAGGAAGAAATGTAAATCAGTTTTAAACACACAACTATGTCAACTTCGATATCTGTCAATGATAATGACATGCAACGGAAAGTAAATTAGATGAAGTGTAATATGTCCTGAATATCCTCTAAAGTTGGTGCTATATTTGCTGTATCATCTGCAGATTATGTACTTATTGTCTATTGAAGATAGATATCTGTTAATTTTAATTCCTCTAATTTCTTTTTTCAGAGCTATATGAAATATAATTTCCACATGAATAGTAAAAAGTACTGGTGACAATTTGTGTTGTGTCAATCATTAATTTTCAAGACCCGAATCAATCAGTGACTGACTCCGAATATGATCAAATCATTTCAAGCATTAATTTCAATATTTTTCGTAGCTATTTAAAAGAAATAACAATTAACTGATTAATTGAGCTGAATTGACTGAAAACCGAGAGCATTGCTTACAGTATTTTATACATGTATTCACCTTCACCTAAATTATGGGAATATCAAATTTATTTTGATCACCTAAATATATATTTTTTAATATTTAAGTTTGTAGATTCTTAAGAAATTATTCAAGAAGCTAGAATTTATTATGTTTTTGTTTTTAGGTTCTTAAGTGTAACTCATAAATAATTATAAATTTACTTACATAGAAATATGTGCTGCATCCAAGTATAAATATTTATTGTTATTTAAACATTTGGTCTCACTCTCTAGCTTTGTTTAAAAGCTGTGCAAATATATATATTTTATGATTTTAACTACCTACTAACTATTAACAACACAAGTGAAAGGAATCGCTGGGGCTCAATAGAATATTTTCCAATTTCAATACTCCAGGTCTGTAGCTAAGTTCCTGCCTTGAACGCAATTCTTAATTCAATATTTAGTATTGTTCAATCATTCAAACGAATGAACAATCACTACTTGATCAGATTGTTATGAACTAGAGGGGATTCAGGCATTAAACGCTTTGAAGTGATTGAATCAAAATGAACGAATCAATCGTGATTGATACAACTCTAGAGACAATATTGACATACTACTTTATATATAGTACTTCTATAGGTGTCTGTGGATAGATCTCTGTTGAATCTTATTATCCACTTTTTTGTTTCTTGACTATTTTCTACACATTTCAAATAATATATTCGAGTATATATGACTAGAAGAATAACTAAAGTATAGTTCATATATACACTACAATCTTTGGATATACCTTTTTCAGAATGGTGCAAAATGTTGATTTAGGTAAACCAGTCAGTTGTAATTTTACATAAATCATATTATATTCACTTGAACAAATTGAGATCCTTTGAGTAGAATATTTTAATAACTTCTGCATGAATATGGTCATAACCTCTTTTGATTCTTCATTGCTCTAACCTCAGATTACAGAATTTCTAGGCCAGATCATTCGTCCAGACATGTTGTCTCTTATCTTCAAAGAACAATTGAACATAGATTCTCCATGTGTTGCATATATCTAGCTCCAAGATTATCGTTTCATTATCTGTGTAGCTATCATATAAACTGTATATCTTATTGGCATAACCCCTGCAATTATTTTTTGGCCTTTAGAATGTCCTGAATACTTCGCATATTTAAAACAATATTAAATCAATGTAAGTACCTATTATTTATATTTCCTAGAATTATTTTAGTGAATCAGTCTAGTTACTTGTTATATGAATGTAGGCATAAGTAGTGTAATTAAGGTAATAAGTTAAGAAATATGATTTGAAAGGAATTATCTGGAATATATCTCAATGTCAGGATTTAATTTCTAAGTATCTATTAGTAAATTTACTGACATTAGCCGTTTAGTTTTCAAGGAATAAACATAGGTATATTGTAAAACGTAAATGAAATGAAAGAATTAATAGAAATCACATAGTACTGGCATAATCAGCAAATAGTACTGGAAGGAGACTGTAGCACAGAAACTGAAACCACATTATATTGCTAAACAATTATTTTAGCATTAAACTGTGTTGAAACATGGAAGCAAGGAATAGAGACGTTAAAGCGTCTATATTCGTGGATAGAAGGGACAAATCCATAAGCAAACATTAGAAAAACAATACGTCTAAGAACATAAATATTAAATATCTTACCTTGAATTTGAAGAGCGGAAAATTGAGTCGAAAGCAGTGTGGAAATATCTGTTAGACTTTTCTTTTCAACAACAGTTTTCGCCATTGAAACAAGTGTTGGACGTACTGGCACTTTAGAAATGAATTGTTTTAGAAAGTTCATTGTAAATTATCACTTCACGACCAAGTTAATCAACTAATTCCTTAATATAAATATTGGTTTTAAAATATAGTGGAAAGTGAGGTTACTGTTTGAACTTTAGTATATTCATAATATCGAGACCGTGAAATCGAATCCTTTATCGATGTAATCATTACAAATTTCTTATATTCAGTTCAAAGTTCTTATATTTAATAATATAAACTTAAGTTACTTATAATATATTATAATTTTATATACACTTAATTTGTTAATTCTATTAAAATTACAAAATAGTATATTTTCTCAAATATTAAAATTATTAAGTAAGATGTCCTCATCCTCATATTTCGAAACTACTGCGATGAATCGAGAGCAAAAGAATCGAACCGAAAGAAATATTAGAAATACATACATACATTAAATATACCTAATTATTATAATACTTATGTATTTAATTTAATATTTGATTTATTATATTTAATTAATGGTACAGAACTTTAATGCAAATCAATCTATAGTAAATTAAAATTTAAATATTGAAAATTCTCCAATCTAATCGAAATACTTCTGCAAGATATAATTTATGAAATTCTCTATTGCTGTATGATTTGGCTTTTAACCGGTAGATGGCAGAGTAGCATCACATATAGAATCAATTTTAAAATATCCTTTTCTTTGAAATGGATTATCTTGGTAATAATATAGTTTTTTACTCTATTTTAATTTATCGAAATTATTCTGGTACAGTTATGCTTTATATTTAATAATTACTTAATTTCTATTATCTTAATTTTCAATTTTTTAAACAATTCTACTCATACAAATTTGGGTGTTTTTAGGGAAACGAAAAATCAAAGAAATACAACGGTATTAAGTTCAAATACTCTATATTCTTTAGAATTTCAATTAAATAATATTTGAAAGCCATGCCCTGCTCCTTGCCCACCGGATTGTTGACCTATTCCATATCCTCCTATGATCTCTGGATATATGTGCTCATTATAGGATGCATGGTGTTTCACCGATATCACGAAGGGTATGAATATATGGTGAATATGGGCTGGTATAAAAGCATGGTTTTTAATATAACCTAAAAATAAAATTGTACAGATATGTAAAATAAAAATATATAGGTATATAAAAAAACTAAAACTAAATCCTTTTATACATAGGTACCCTAGGTACTATTAGTTTTATTATTATACGTATTATTTTTATAAATGATACAACAGTTTTAAATCTGCACTGCCCTACCCACAAATCGATCAGAACAGGTGCTCGGAAGGAGGATAGTGTGCCACCAAAGTTATTCACGAACACGTCGAACACGCTTCCAAGTCCTTGGATTGGCAAAATAAAGGCAACACAAAAAGTTATATTCAATGATCGCTTTGAAAACTTCATTATCATCTTGGTTCTTTACAGTGTTCTTTACTTTGGGTGTTCTCAATTTGTAGCTAGTTGGTCGCTACTCTTATTACGTCGTCGATCCATCTAGTCGGTGGTCGTCTGGGCTACTTTTATAGTTTCTTAAATCCTCTGATCGTTTTATATACCTATCTACTAAGAATAGAAACATGAAACAATTATTCTATGAAAACGTTTGTCAAACTTTTACGGCCTTATCAATCTAGATATTAAATAGGTACATATTTCAGATCCATAAGAAGTTTTATTACGCGGACAATAATCGTTTTACATGACCTTATTGAGGTGGGATACGCCATCTATCAAACTATCGTTCATATTAACTTATTAAAAATAAAATCTAAAAAGTTTACAACAGCTAATGAACAAAGTAAATGTAGTAAGGGAAAGATTCGGACTATAAATAAACATATCAAAAACTAGATTTATGGTCTTCAGCAAAAACGGAGAGTTTTGCTGAAAGAGCAAAAGTTTTGTTCAAAGAGTTTTGAAATTTTAAATATGGAGTTGAATTCTAGACACTGTCTGAAGCGATGGAGAAGAAACTTAAAGCCTTTGAGATGTGTTTATCCAGGCGAATCCTAAGGATATCATGGATTCCATGAGTTCCACTATGAGAATGTTGTTAGACGGTCCATACTGATGACCAAACATTTTTTTTGCAGTAATTCATTTAAAATATTTCAGTTCTCTTTTTATTTCCATTATTTTATTATTGTATATATTAGTGTCGGCCATAGCGTCGTGTTTTTGTGATTGCAATTGAGTATTTGTGTGGCAAACGAATTTAATGTCGTATGAGAAAGAACAGACAGGACTACAAAAACTGTGGAATGAAATATTTTCTGAAGAATCTGATTTTTCACTAGATGTGTCTGATTATCAACCAAGCAATTCAGATTCAGCTAGTTCTGATGGGCCAATATCGCTAAAGAAAGGTTAAAGATTAGTGGATTCACGTTTTAAAACACAGGATATGACTTTAAAATCAACCAGTTCTTAACAACAGCAGAAGAGTTTCGTTTAAGGGAAATTGAACAGACATCCAATGTAGCAGAAATGGATCTGTCCGAACAGTATTTTTTCCTGATAATGTACAACAGATTTTAAACCTAAATGCACATGTGATATTGAAAGATCTATCAAGGATGTCATTGAGCAGAATAGTCTTTCTCGAATCTGACGATTTTAACACTACGATTAATGTAGAAGTGTTATAATCAACCAAGTGGGGACCGGATACCGGAAATACATAATTTGAAATACTTTGTATTTTCAGAGGAAAACCCAAGGATCCGTAGTTTTATTGTATGATAATTATAATATGACTCCATACGACTTTTATAAACTTGTGATTACTGATGACATAAATGAACTATTTCAATACGCATACAAACGTGGAAATATACAACACCAGAACAATTGGAAAAGTTTTTGGGGCTAATAATATGGATGGGAACTTCTACTTCTTCCTACAATTTCTTCATACTGGTTCAAAAAGTTCATGTTTAAAAATAAACTTTATCAACCAATATCAAAAAATCGTTTTCAATTCCTTCTAAAGAACTGGCACTTAGCTGTCAACAAAACTGTTATGTAAAGCAGTGACAGATTGTACAAGGTTAGTTCTCTTTTGTCAAAGTTCAAAAGAAATTTTCAAATGCCCATTGTACCATTAGAATTTTTATGTATTGATGAAACTTTGGTGTTATTTAAAACGCGATAAAATTTCAACAATACATTACCAATCAGCCCCACAAATTTGGTATTAAAACATAGATAATATTCTATTCCAATAGATACCAAAAGAAGAAGAAATATGTCGCTAGTAACCATAAGCTATACATAGGTTGATGTAACTATTTAGTACAATAAAAAATATTTTATTATATAAACATTTGTATATTTTGTACCAATTTATGCTGAATTTATAAATTATTATGTATTAGAAAACCGTTTATCAGCAAACAAAATTATATTTTCGGCCTTTGGAAGCGAATCCAGATCTTTTTGAATATAACAACATGAATTCCGTAAAATATGCTTCCAATAGGGATGGGGGAGGAAAATATTTTGTATAGCTACTTGACCTTATTTTTCAAAATTCCATTAAATTTTAATTTAAACATCGATTTCATCGTTCCTAACCTATTTTGTTGTTAAAATTGTATGAGTTTGAAAATTTAGCAATCCTTTTAAAACTTTTCAGTTCAACATACAGGATGTCCCATAATTAATAAATTACCACAAACATGCCTTAACCTTTTCGGTCATCATGTAGACAATTCAACATCAACTCGAAATTAGTTTATACACATATATTTAGAAACAATAACACTAGTTTTAACTGTCTATTAGTCCTTAATATCCTACAGGTTATTTATTAAATAGGTGCTACGTAATCAAGGACTTACTGTACTTTCGTATTAATATTGCAGAAGTTTTAATTTTGGCCGAAAAAACAGTACCAAGAAAAAAGTGTATTTCTTCCTCCACACTGGCTAATTCTCCAAATGTGTTGCGTTCTTAACCCCACAAATTTTGGAATTGAGACCAACTAGTGAAGTACGTTCGGATGGAATAAATCATTTACCGGATGCACTAAATTCAACATATACTTATGTTGAACTAAAAATGAAAATATTTGTGGTAGCCGCAGTTTTAAAACAGTGGAAATGAATAATTCAAAGAATAGGAAGAGAACTCGAAGACACAACCATGTATATGTTACAGTGTGCCGATAACCTAGTAGTTATATCAATTTAACCATAATAAAGGTTTGAATTACATAATGAAGATTACGCATGTTGATTAAAGATTATTAAATACAGGGTTAAAAAATTAACATCGAAAAGATTAAATATCTCTCTATATTGGCTGAGACTGAAGCGATCTAACATTTAACAATGGTAGAACAATAAAATACTGTCAAAATTATAACTAGGTGGTAGTGAATTTTGACACATCCTTAACGGACAACAAAGAAATACATAGAAAGGAGAATGATAACAGAAAAAAGCAATATCCCTGCTTTAATTCTACCCATAAATTTTCAGCTTTCTGTCGCGAAGCAATTATAATACCATTTTTAAATGACAATAAACCATCTTATACAACCTTCTTCCAATATACAATCTTCTTTGTATCGACCAATATCTCTTACCTGTAGCATCTGCAAAATAATGGAAAAGATTCTAAGCAAAAGATTAAAATGGTACTTGGAAAAGAAAAATCTCCTTACATCCATGCAATGTGGGTACCGATCAGAACGGTCTACAATATTTAATATTATAGCATTAGAATCTGAAATACACGAAGCTTTTATAAATAAACAAAAATTAATAGCAATTTTCTTTGACATCACAAAAGCATTAGACATCACGTGGACATATCACATCTTAAAAGCAATGAAAAGTTGGAAAATAGAGGGCAAATTCTTAACCTTTACCAAAAACTTCCTGGAGAACAGAAGTATAAAAGTTAAAACAAACGGTATCATGTCAACGAAGAAATTACTGGAAAATGGTATCCCTCAAGGATCTTTATTAAGCCACCTACTGTTTTTATTAACAATCAACAACGTATCTAACCATTTTATGCTTCTAGTAAAAGCAAACCTTTACGCCGATGATATTGTTATATATATGAGAAGTAAAAACCTAAAATCAGCTGCATCAATATTACAAAATACACTAAATAGATTAGAAGGGTGGTCTTTAGATACAGGCTTGAGATTTTCAACCAAAAAAACTAAAGTAATAATATTTGACAAAAGGAAAACACAATGCCACTTAAATTTAAAACTAAACGGAAATACCCTTATAACAATCAACGAAATCAAATTTTTGGGAATAACATTCGACTCTCAACTCAAATGGACATCGCACATAAATGAACTAATTAAATCATGCCAACAGAGAATAAATCTTCTAAAAGTTCTTTCCAAACACAAATAATGCGCAGACACAACCATTCTTCTACGATTATACTTAAGCTCTAATTAGAAGCAAACTAGATTACGGATGTATATGCTACAAAACTGCTACTAAAAGTCAATTGAACAAACTGGACATCATTCAATCCACAGCATTACGCATAGTTTTCGGAGCTTTCAGAACTACGCCAATTAGCAGCGTTCAATTCCTAGCAGGAGAACCGCCATTAACTCTCAGAAGAGAACATTTTTCAATGTGTTGTGCTATTAAATATCTCAGTGCAAATGAAAACCCGTTTATAACAAGCCTAAGAAGGAGCAACCCTCCAAATCTGTTCTCAAATTATTGCCCTAGAAACTTACCTTTCAATGAACGAATAAATCGATTTGAATTCGATATACATCAAAGTTCAAATACCAAAAGTAGATTTTACTTTACTTAACTATCCCAAACATTCACACAATCCTTCTGCAATAAAACAACAATTCCGGTCTATCATCTTCAGATACCCTGATTTCAATGCCTCTAAAATCCCTCTGATTTACTGATGCCTCTAAAATCAGTAATGATGTAGCTGCTGCAGCTATTATTGAAGACAACACCTCTGTCACTCGTCTAGCCAAGGAGTGTAGCATTTTTTTTGAACCTATTCTCTATCCTTCCACTGTTGGATATAGGTCTCCCCCAGTTCTCTTCATCTTTCCCTATCTTGAGCTGTTCTCTGCCATGTAGGACCTCCTTGTTTCCTAATGTCATCTTTCCACCTCATCTGTGGTCTGGCTCTTGATCTCTTTGCATTGTATGGACGCCACTTTCCGATGGCATTGTTCCATCGTCCGTCTTGAAGACGTTCATTGTGTCCAGCCCATTGCCATTTCAGTTTTGCTGCTTGTTCTATCGCGTCTACTGTCTTTGTTCTGGTTCTGATCCACTGGTTACGTTTTCTATCTCTAAGTGATACACCCAACATTTGTCTCTCCATCGCTCTTGCCTTCCTTATCCTATCCAAATTGGCCTGTGTAAATGTCCATGTCTGTGCTCCGTAGGTGAGCACCGGTATGATACAGGAGTTATACCTTGCTTCGTAAGTATAGAGGGATTGTTTGATTTTTTAGAACGTAAGAAAGTTTGCCGAACGCTGCCCATCCCATTCTTACTCGTCTCGATATTTCGGCTATTTGATTTTCTCTATTAGCTCTGATTGCTTGTCCTAGATAGATATACTCATTTACCTGTTCTATTTTTTCTGTTTTTATTTTTATTGCCTCTTGGTCTTTCGTGTTTGTCATTACTTTTGTTTTGTTGAAGTTAATTTTTAGACCTTTTTGCAATGATTTTTCATAAAGTTCATTCAGCATTAATTCCAGTTCTTGTCGTTCCAAGGAGATCAGGAGTATATCATCCGCATATCTAAGGTGATTTAGGTATTTTCCGTTAATACATATTCCTCTGTTTTCCCAATCTGTTGATTTTATTATGTCTTCGAGGGTCAAGGTAAACAGTTTAGGTGAAATTATATCGCCTTGTCGGACTCCTTGTTTAACTTTTATATTATCCGTTATTAATTTGTCGTCCAGAATTACGGTCATGGTTGCGTTTTGGTAAATATCATGTATCAATTGTCGGTATCTTGAATCTATTCTACTATTGACCGGAGCTTCTTCAACCGCCCAGTGTTCAATGCTGTAGAAAGCCTTTTCATAATCTACGAATGCTAAGTACAGCGGAAGGTTGTATTCATTGGTTTTCTCAATAAAGATTTTAAGCGTATGTAGATGGTCGATTGTGCTGTATCCTTTTTTGAATCCGGCCTGTTCCACTGGTTGGTAGTCATCAAGTTTATAGGTTAGTCGGTTGTTTATTATTCTTGTGAAGGTTTTATATAGTTGTGACAAAAGGGAAATAGGACGGTAGTTGTTTAGGTCTGTTCGGTCTCCTTTCTTATGTATTAAGATTGTGTTGGCATTTCTCCATTGTTTGGGTATTTTGCCTTCAAACAGACATTTGTTGAACAGTATTTTTAGCATTTTTTTTTATCGTGTCTCCTACTTCTTTTAGCAGTTCCGCCAGTATTTTGTCCTCACCGGCCGCTTTATTTCTTTTTATGTCGTTTATGGATTTTTCGATTTCATCTTCAGTTATTTCTGGTAATACCTCTGAGCCAACATTTTGTATTTTCCTCATGAGATTCTGTTTAGATGATAGTGGTGGGTCATTTTTAGAACTGTATAGGTCTGTGTAATATCTTTCTGTGATTTTTACTATTTCTCCTAGATCTCTTTCTTCATTGTTCTCAGCTTTAAGCATTATACTGGAGTGTAGCATATATACTGGAGAACTGCAAGCAATCTCCAACGCACTGAACCAATGTACCAGCAATGATATAAATTTTCGTATTATATCGGATTCTCTGAGCACCTTTAATGATCTCCAGCAGATGTATCCTACTCATGCCAATTTAGCACTAATAAAAGACATGCTATACAATGCCCAAACACATGGTAAAAACATAACATTTTTATGGGTACCATCCTATGTTGGGATAAAGGGTAATGAAGCAGCTGATAAAGCAGAAATAGAAACTATCAATAACATCACAATTCCTATTATGTAAAACATACCAATTTCAGACCAAAAAACATTAATAAAAGCTTACATTAACAAAACCTGGCAAGTAAAATGGAGCCAAACAGAAGCAAAATTAAAAATTGTCAAACCAGATGTTACTTCTGCTTTACTACCGCTCCCAGCTCAAAGATATGACCAAGTAGTTATTAATAGACTGCAGCTAGGTCATACAAAATTTAAACATGGATACATCATCTCCAAGGACCCTCAGCCGATTTGCCGCACCTGTCAAATACCATTTTTAGTGCAACATATAATGATAGACTGTCCAGTGTACTCAACAGCAAGATCGATAGCAAAAATAAAACACAATTTTGAAACTCTAAAAGAAGACATCAGTAATACAATAAATTTTATCAAAAATTGTAAACTGTATAACAAACTGTAACATAACATACAATGTTTGAATTTTTCAAAACTGTTATGTAAATTTTAATATTACACTAAGTGTAACTTTTCTAAAATAAATTTATACCACCCCGCTAACACCCCTAGGGGTTGATGCGGTAAAAAAATAGTTAAACATTATTTATTTTTCTAGATACTAAATCTTTGGTTTTACACGAAACAAACATTCGGCTGTATATTCATGTACATACCCTGTATCCATTCAGTGCTGTGAGTGATTATCGGCGATTTTGTGGATAGACCGTGAAATTCTTTTTCTGGTGACTTTACTTCCTCTACTTTAGTCATATTAAATAAAACAAATCTCGACTTCTCAACTTCAGGAAACGTCACAAAGCCAAGTTCAAGAGGCGATCTTTTTACGATTTCTGCGGAACAGACGTTTAATAGCGTCTTCCAGAATAAAAGGCGAATTATAATTTTCTGGAAAAGGAAATGTATTTTGAGCAGCATAAAGAAAATCATATAATAAAGGTATGTATAAAAATGAGAAATTTACATTGAAACTTTTTACAAAAGATTTTATTATGTTTATTAGACAATATATCAATTTCTAGAATTTTATTCTTAACTAGAATGTATTGTTAAACATACTAAAATATTAAAATACATACTGCTACGACCTAATTGGCCACAATTGTTAGCAAATTCTACGCAAAACATTAAGCAGATAAGGAAAATCTGAATTCAAAAAGAAATTATAGATATGAAAGACGTTGGAAAAGAACTAAAAGTCTAATAATATGATAACCTTATACAATTACTGCTCAATTTATTAGACTCGTAGCAAATTCTAGTTTTCTGTGTTTTATAATCAATTATAATTGAAGGCACAAGTGCATAAAGGATCTATGTAACATTTTTTTTTTAAATTAGTTTTTAAGCTCAGTAGGTCTGTTTTAACCCCTAAATTTGCTTCATAAGATTTATTTAGCTTAAAAACGTTTAGCAACCATTTAATTAGGGAATAAAGGATCTATGTACCAAGCAATATTTTATTACAAAAGTGCATTAAAGATCCATGTGCTCAGTATTGTACATAGATCTTTTATTCCTGGCCAAACGGATTGCTGTTGTCATGTCATGTTACATAGATGCCTAAAGTTAGGTTATGTTGTTCTTTACATCTAAAATTGTACTGGGTACTTTTATAGTGAAAATATTGAAATAAGTTGCGAAAATGTCAGCAAGAAGTAGACTTTTACTTAATCTGGTACAAAAACAGTGCGAAGGTATGTTGAATTGGTAACACAGGTCAACAATGAATTTAATGTCTTAAAATAAACATCCTTTGTTAGGGTAATTTTGACCTCCTAAATCCAAAACTGATATTAGTTTTTCTCTATCATCTTCCAATTTTTCGCAAATCGAGATCTTATAAAAATTCCTTGATTATACGAAAAGTTTACATATAAAATTAGTAAAACGGTTTTTAGTGTAAATATATGGCACAAACAGTTGTCCAAAAAAATTTAAATACAATTCTGAATTGTGGCAACACTGTAAGCGGCTGCACCTCTCCCAGTCGTAAATAAACGCATCAAAATCAGTTGTTTGTTTTGAACAGTTCGAGGAGGTTTATCGCTGTGTTTCGAATTAGTGCTATTTATTTGTTATTCTATTCCTTTTTCGAGCTATGGAAAGGAGATATTGTGTTAATAATGCAGACTGCTTTTGTTATATTTGTGGCAGTTTTGTGGTTGCAAAACAGAGACATAACATAACCTTATTTGTTCGTATTGCGTATCATGCCTATTTTGAAATGAAAATAGGAGAACAAGACAAATCTTGGGTACTACATATTGTATGTAAAGTTTGTGTAGAAGATTTAAGAAGTTGGACATAAGGAAAAAAAAGTCATTGAGTTTTTTAGTTCCCATAGTGTGGCGTGAGCCACAAAACAATTCTGATGATTGCTACTTTTGCTCCTGCGATTTAAAGGGATTTAATGGTAAGAATAAAAAAGGTATTTTATACCTGAACCTAAAATCTGCTATTAGGCCTATTTCTCATAGCCCTGATGTACCTATACCTATTTCACTAAAGGAGTTAGAGAATGTGTTATCGTCTGATTTGGAACAGTAGATTTTTATGCAGAGACGAAAATTTTCAAAATTCTATGACACTTGTCGAAAAGAAAGCATAGACTTTATTTAAAGATGTTATCGAAAAGTTCTTGGAAAATGAAAAAGTTCCAGACTATGAGAACATTACCACACAAATGCTACAACATTTTCGTATTCTAGGATGCAATATGATTTTAAAAGTACATTGTTTATTCGCTCATCTAGACCAATTTCCAGGAAATCTTGGAGCTGCTAGCGAAGAGCAAGGGGAACGTTTCCACCAAGACATTAATCAGATGGAAAGACGTTATCATGGTAAATAGAGCGTATCCATGATAGCAGACTACTGTTAAATGCTAGAACGTGATAATCCTGACAAAATTTATAGAAAAATTTCTACCAAACGCAGTTTTTTGACAAAAAGGAAAAGATTTCATTAATTTATTTTGAGCAATACTCTTATTTTTAAGATATAGTGACCTAATATATGACCAATTAATAAATGTATTTATAAGCGCATTTAGTGTTTTCTTTTTATTTTTTAATTTGTAAAAATATCTTAGGTGAAAAAAATTGGTTTGCAGATTTGGAATCAGCGCACCAAAATTATATAAAATCACTTGTCAAATTTAAAACATCTTTCAAAAAGTTTTTTTTTGTAGACCTGTGTAATAAATCTTGTTTTTTACCAAAATATGCTTCTTAATAATAATTTGAGGTTATGAGTTTACCGGAACGATAACTAAATAGCTGCATAAAACTAGTTTTGAGCAATGTTTTTATTATTTAAACATTGTAGACCAACTTGATCAGATAAAAAGAGATTAAGCATACCTTTATTGTCGTAGATATTGCCGAAACTTTACCTGGACAAGATAAAAATCCACTAAGAATCAAGAATATCCTGAATGAAAAGCAGAAAATTAAATTGTTTCAAGGTTTTGGTCTGCAGATAAAAATAATAAAGTAACCTACCTACCCTATATGTTTAAAAATACTTTTAAACTAAAGATTCTATTTCTGAATATGAAGTAATTTATCCAGGATATAATTCAAATGACTATAATCGCTATAACCCAGATAGTACTGAGCGAAAGTTTTGAAGATTCTCATTGTGTTAGGATGAAAGTCATCCCGTAGCAGTACCACCTGTCACAGCAGAAGATTCAGTTTTACTTATAAATCAACATGAAAATACTGAAAATCTATTGGACGGGAAGGAAAGTCTTTTAATAGCTAGGATAAAAATAATGTTAAGAGAAAGGTATTCAATTTGCCAGAAAAAAAATCAAGAATAAGGAAACGCCATCCTGAAACGCGGAAGAAGAATAAGACTACCGTAGCGAGACAGAGAGGTGAGACATACATATCATTAAAAAGTAAAAAAGAGAAGCCAAGCAAAAGTCCCGAATTAGGATCTTTATACAAAAACGAATATTTCAAAAAGAAATGTGATGAGCAATTTAAAGGCCCGTTTTCACGCTACGTCTTATTGTACGTTATGTAGGTCATATAAAGGCTCGGCCACACAGAGCGCTATGTTCGCTACGTACGCGATGTTCGCTATACGATGAAAATATATCTTCCGTTGTGGACAACGTGACTGGCCACACAGATCCGCGTACGCTATGTTCGCGATGTTCGCTATGTTAGCTGCGTCGTTGAATGTTTTGTTGTCGGATATATTTTTATTCGTCGCCGAGTACGGGCTTTATTTACGCCGTTGCAAGTCTAGGTGGTGTCGACGCGTATTGTTAAACAAACAGTAAACAAACATGGTGTTGGAAATTTTAATCGAGGAAGTTAAACAACGACCATGTTTATGGAAAAAGTCCTTGGAGGATTATAGGAATCAAAATGTAAGGGATAATGCGTGGGAGCAGATTAGTAAAGTTTTACATAGACCAGGTAAATACATAATACATATATAATTTTATATTATAATACTAATTATTATAAAATATTTTTTTAAACTATGCGATTCACTACTCTTTCTTGCCATTCCACTCGATCAGACATAAAGTACTCCATGAAAGAAGTTCTAGTCCCTAGGACTTCCCTTGTTGCATTTCTTGCAGTACCAGCACGCATTTGAACTAATTGCTGTACTACTTCGCCTACCTCCTCTTCGTCTTCTTCGTTGGCCGGCACACTGGCCTGAGTTAACAATGATGCCCGTAGATAGTTATGCAACACCACCGTAGCTTTGACAATTTTACCAGCAAGTTCAAGACGACACTCTAGTGGATGATGATATACCATCCAAGTATTAGAAAGAATACCAAAAGCATTTTCAACGGTATTCCTGCTTCTTGAAAGTCTGTAGTTGTAAATTCACTCTGCTTCACTGAGTCGTCGGCCTGTTCTCGGAAAAGGTCTCATAAGGTATCATTTAAGGAGAAAAGCCTCATCCCCCACTATGACGTATGGCAAAGAGACCCCGCCCAAATTTTCATCTGGGGGCAAGCCAATGTTTCCTTCAGTCAAACGATTTCCAATTGCACTATTCGTAAACACATTTCCATCACTAACTCTCCCATACTGTCCTACATCTACAGCAAGGAATCTTTTATTACCGTCGACTAATGCCAACAAAACAATTGAATGGTACTTCTTGTAGTTGAAATATTCGGAGCCTCTCAATTGAGCAGTCTTAATTCTAACATGTTTGCCATCAAGTGAAGCAACATAGTGAGGAAAGTTCCATCTTTCTCTGAAAACGTTTTCGGATGCTCTCCAAATCTCTTCATTTGGCTCAAGCATAACTATAGGTTGGATGTTTTTCCAAATCGCTTCACAAACCTCTTCAATAATCTTACTGACTGTAGATCTACCCATACGATAAGTTAATGCCATTGATCGGAACGAATTTCCTGTTGCGAGGTACCTTGAAAAAAGGACTAAAATTTAATTTAATGTATTTGTTAATAATTGTTATAAATGCTGCAACTTTTGTTGCAGCTGATGATCTAAGGGCGGATTGGAAAAAGCTACAAGATAGTTACAGGCAGGCTATGTTAAGAAGAAGAACTAAAAGTGGACAAGCTGCAAAGAAAATGAAAGTCTGGAAGTATGAATTGCAGATGTCCTTCTTGCTGGCGGATACCATTCCACGAAGGTAAGTAATAAACAGTGAAGAGGGGAATAGAGGAGATATGATTATTGTATTATCCTTTACAGAACAGATTCGAATGTTGCATTAGTGCAGAACGAGGGTGATAAGGAGGATAATGAAGACTTCGTTGAACTGAACGCGACGGGTGGCGGCAATGAAGAAAACGAAAAAGAAGAGACAGATGGTGGTGAAAACAAGACTGAAAATGAGCAAGAGGGACGTAGCAAAATCTTTCGTAAGCGAAACAGGAATCTAGTTAAAGAAAATGAACAGGATGTTAATAAAGTTATATCGTTTATGAAGGAGAGAAAACAAGAAAGCAAAAAGTTATTAGGTGAACTTGATTACTTCTTTGCTAGTGCCTGTGAAAGTGCGAAGCGTCTGCCTCGACATTTACAGTTGAGAGTAAAGCGAGAAGTGATGAACACAATTTTAAATGCCGAAACGGAGTCCAATTCATACGAGACGGAAGAAAGCTACAATAATCAGCATTACGATTATGATGCTAATTATGATTATTTAACCTCAGAAGTAGAAAATAACTTTTCGTGTAAACAGTGAGTAATATTAATATTATTTGATTTTCATTAACTTTTGTACCTCATTAACAAGTCAAAAAATATATCGTTTTTATAAACAGCATGTTTTACTTACCTCAAGCAAAGAGCTAATCGTTCTTCTGGTGGTATACTGTCCCTATAGTTAAGGTTCTCCTTTTCGATGTCGTCTTTGATAATTGTCAAAATATTGTCAAAATTTGATAATTGTCAAAATATTGTCAAACTGGGTTTGGGTCATTCGAAAATATTCTTTAAACTTAATTTCGTCATCACACAATTGTTTCATTAGATGATAATATTCACCACATTCTTTCCTTTTTAAGGTGACGTTATGAACCCAATTTCTTTTACGTTTCTTCTTATTACATAATGCTAAAAGCAACAGTACATCATCTTCGTCGGAAGAACCATCGCTGCTTTGCCAGGGTACACTATCCACCAACATAATCTTAATAAATGAAAAGCCAGACTGAAATATTTTCGTAATAAAGAAACGTAGCGTTTGGTCTGGCCACCCAACATAGCAAACATAGCGAACGTAGCGAATATAGCGAACGTAGCGTACATAGCGTAGCTTTCTGTCTGGCCACGACATAAAACGTACGACAAAACGTACGTTTTGTCCAGTGTATACAAACCATGTTTTTCCTTCCGTTTGGATTTCATTTCTATTCGACAAAACGTACGTTTTGCTGTTTACATGCCACGTTTTATTGTATAGGATTTGTCCTATCCAACAAAACGTACAATAAGACGTAGCGTGAAAATGGGCCATTACAAGTTTAATAGGGAAAGAATATTTCTTAATTTTTACGCATTAGATCAAAATGTAAAAAATTCATTACTTTTTAAATCTGTTTCAATTATGCCAGTTAATTACCATAGAAAAAACATTAGTAAAAATAAATCATATACATTTGGTTACACAATAACGTGTCAGGCACGTATCAAAACTGTCTGTATGACTGTCTTTATCTCCCTTTACCAAATATCAAATAAAAAGGTGCAACTCATTCAGAATCAATTAAAATCACGGGCTACAGCTCCTTCACCAGATAAAAGGAGGCATCATAATTCTAGACCAAATAAAATAGAAAAAGATGTGGTTGATGCTGTAAAAGGATACATTCTTTCTTTTCCTGCAGAATAGTCACACTATTCGTGAAACAAAAATTCCAACAAAATGTATTTGTCTTCCTTGTTAAATATAACACAACTACATGAATTGTATCAAGAATATCTTCAAGAAACTAAGATGGACAAACGGTTTTTGGTTTCAAAAAGCTTTTACACGCATATTTTCTCATCAAAATTTAATCTGTCTTTTGGCTAGCCTAAAAGTCACACATGCAGTACGTGCGATGCGAATTTAGGGGATGAGATCCACAAAGAAAAATTTAAATTTGCTTTTGAGCAACAAAAAGTCGATAAAGAACAAGTACATAATAATAATGAAATGTGCTATTTAATCAAGGACCTACAACATACCATGCCTTTACCACGCCTTACTACTTCTAAGGCATTTTATTTGAGGCAGATGTGGTTCTATAATTTTGGAATCCACACAATAAGGTCAGAGGGTGATAAAGCCTACTTTTTTAATTGGACCGATTTAATTGTATGGAAGAAGACTGACTGATATTAAAAGACATAAGGTACACTGCTGAAAATAAGTTACTTACTTTTTGTGTTCCATACATTTTTCTTAATTTCGTTTAACTAGTCGTTTAATGGTTTAAATTCTGCATATTAATTCTAATACAAAGTTTTCGGCCGTTTCTCTCCTACTAATTCCAGATGTCATCTAAGAGATATCTATAAAAATTATAAAAAGTTACCATCAAGTAATTTATTAATTACTATTTATAACTGGGAATAAGCCACAATTAAAGATAAAAATACGTTTATTGACGTTTCAATTTCCAATTCGGAAATCGTTCTCAAAATACAAACAGTAAATTAAACAAATTTTGTTTTTTGTTACATAGTGAAAAAATTCTTCTAATAATTTAATTTTATATGACTCATTTATATTTACAATTCAGACATACATTATGCATTTTAAAGTAGACGACTTTAAAATGATATTGCCAATATTGTTGAGTTGCGCTCCTGGGACGACTTTACTTATAAGATAGTTCATTTGATTACATGAAATCAACGTTAACTTGAGAATATCCGTCAGAAAAAATCATAGCATGTAATTCGTCTTTAAAAAGACAAACACATGACATGATGACAGTAAAATTCTCCTGTTAGTGATTCCATAGTAAATTATGAGGGAAAAACCAGGAAAAACCAACTGACCGCGAATTAGGTGGCTATATGGAGTTGAGGGATAGTAGAGATCAGAAGATGACAACACTTTGCCAGAAACCGATCAGAATGACTACTAATTTTAGAGCAGGCCAGGATCCACAGATGATTGCTGAGCCAAAGATGATGATGATAACACAATGAACAACTAAAATACAATAACTGGTAATGAATAATAGCAAATTAAGCAAGCAGCTCTAAGATTAATTGAGAGTGAGATTGACAGAGTTAATAATATATTGGAACGTTAGTGCCATTGGATGTAACCAATCTAATGAAATCCTCACCACATAGTCAGTTAGTAATTAGTATATGGATTATTACGGGAGTATTACGTTAAAATTAAATTATACTTACCATAAAACAAAATTATTACTTACATAATTATGTTTGTTATAAATATAATTCAATTTAAACAAATAACCCATGTAATATACCATCTAATTAGTGACTGACTACAAGATGGTGCAGTTTATATCAGATTGGTTACACCCTATGGCACTAACGTCCCAATATAAATAATTGGATTGAGAGTGTGACTGACTTTGTCAGTCTCACTCTCAATTAATGTTATAGCTGCTTGCTATAATTTGCTGTTATATAGTGCCATTTATTGTATTTCAGTTGTTCATTGTTTGTTTTATGTTGTTTTAGCTTGCAGTTTTTAATATAAATAAGACTAACGTACTGTGGGCCTCATGATGGGGCAAATATGGCGCCTTGAAACCGGTTACCCAAAATTTACCTTAATTAGATAATAAAAACTACTTAATTATTTATATTATTATTATATTTATATATTTATATTAGTTTTCTCTAGAACTTTCCATAGCTTAATATTGGGTACTGTGCCATATGCTTTCATTAAATCCTTTATTAGTAAATGTAATTCTTGTGCTGTTGAGAGCATTTTTTGTGCTTGGGTTACGCTAAAAATGTTGTTTATTGTGGATCTAGCGGCTCTAAACCAATTTTGACATAGAAAGTCTTTTAAAACTGTGTCATGTAGTTAGATTATCGTACTATTTGCAGTTATTCATCTGTAATTATTAGGGTCGTGTTGACTTTTTTTATTTGTATCTCTTAAATAACAATGTGATTATTTTTATTATTCTTCTTCTTCTACACATGCCATATCAAAATTATTCGGCGTTGGCGATCACCATTCTGATGGCTTCTCAATCTTCTACCACATAGTATAATTGTGCATCCTGCATTTAATGTCTGAGTCGATTTACGAATGTTTTTTAACCAAGAAACCTGTTTTCTTCTCACAAATCTGCGGCCTCTTTTTGCTTTTAAGGATCAATTATTGTAGTATTCTATATCGATTTACGCTCACTATATGTCTCAGATAACAAATTTTTCTTTGTTTAACAGCCTTTAGAAATCCCCTATCTTTGTTGAGCCTCCTTAGTATTTCCTCACTAGTTTTTCTTCATTTTTATAAAAGACTTTTTAGTCATTGCTATTCTGCGTGTTATTTTTATGTCTGGATCTAGTTGGTCCTTTCTGACAGTTCCCAAATACGTAATTTTGTGATTTTTTTTTAACTTGGATTCCATTTAATTGAAGCTCTGAATCTGAATGTGGGTCTAAATAATAAAAATTTTATTTTGTTTGAGAATACAGTAAGTATTCTCCGCGTATCCAATTACATTACGTATGTCCCCGTTGATTTTAATTCCAGATGGCTTACTTTCAACTGCCTTTTAAAATAACTGATCCGAGTAAACTTTGAACAATGTTGGAGACAAAATACAAGCTTGTCTGACTTCTCGTTGTACGGAGATTAATTTTTAAGGAGTTCTGCAGGTATTCCTTCAGGACCTTGAGCACAACCATTCTTTCACAAGGTGATTGCCTTTTTAATCATTTCCTAATGTAATATAATCGACTTTTCCAAAACCTGGATAACATTTCTTCGTTAAAAAATTGAAAATTAATTATACCTAAACTTGACAAATCATATAACATCCAATTAATAAAATTAGAATACTATAACATATATCAAATTTAGTGAAAATGGATTTATTCTACGTATTAGTTTAAATCCTAACTTTTTTCGTATATTTAAGCCCTAAATCTACCCAAGATATACCGGTCTCGTTTATATGTTCCGATCAACAGTTAAGTGTCTTAATTATATTCCAGTCTATTACCCAAAATTATATTAAAAAAATGATGACCTATAAAAGGTTAAAAAAGGAAAAAAAGAAAAATAAAAGACAATAACCAAAAAAATACAGTTCAAAATATGAAAAATGAAATAATAGAAATAAAAAAACAACTAATTAAGAATTTTTATAAAAAAGAGATCAGCAATGTGCTTGTATACCAACATATCCAACGAAAACATAATCCCATAAAGGAAAGATGGCGAATGGACGTTGACACCGAAGCCAATAATCTTCAAACATACACAAACTTTATACTATAATACCGAAGATAACAAAGAAGATCTAATTTTTGTTTAGAAAGAAAAAATGTATAAAAATATAAACTAATTTAAAGACAACAACTAAAGTACTTGTTTAACTTCACAGATCTGTGTTTACTCGAATTTTACTTTGAAATAATCAGTGACCCGAATTTAATAATAATTATAGTGAATGTGCTTATACTTACAGATGCCGGTAATTTTAAATAAATACACTTTGTTGCAAATACTTAGAGAACATTAAATTTTATCTAACTTTAATATACACGTGATTTAGTATAGTAATCCTCACAGACAAAATCTGAATACCAGCTGCTTACCTTCTACAAGTTGTTTTCTATAGGGTGAGTCTGTTTATGAGTGTAAAACTATTCTATTGTTGCTTTTTTACGTCCAAAATTATATTTTACAGCAATAAACCATTATTTAAAATAACACTTTTTGTATTTTTCATTTTCAATTCTAAAATTATTCTTAAAATACAAATATTAAGATAGTTAAAATGGCCTAACATCAAAAAGTTAATTTTTTAATTTTCTTTACGTTCTATCCGGTTAAAAATAAGACAATTCAATTTTAAGCCTCCATTGTCTTCCCCCCACCCCAATTCCCACCCACAAAAGCGTAATTTTTTCCTTTTTTTTCTGGAGAACTGCAATCAATTTAAAAATTTCAAAAAATTCACAGGCATAGTTGAGGCTTTTGCAAAACTAGTATATTTTTATAGACTCAGAGCTTGCGTGTACATAACCTAAAATGCATTTTTTTTAACAAACAGCGTATAACTTTTCTTTGGTTATGGCTGCAGATCCATTTTTTTATTTTGTGTATTTAAATAAAAACTATTATGTGTATTTAAATAAAAAAAAAGAAGAAAGAGCATATAGAGAACCAACTGAAAGGACTAGAGAACTATAAGGCACAAGCAGAAACGTGAAAGTTCTAGAAAAGGATTAACCAGAACAGGAAAGATTTCAAACCTAGATTATCAATCGTTAGAAATAGAACAGGGGAGATCATTGGTGATCAAGATTAGATACTAGAAAAATAGGCAAAAAACCTCGAGGAAAGGCTAAATATAAGAGGTGAGACAGGGCTCCACGAATCAGAAATCCAACTCGAGGACATTGACAATAAAAGAGAGAAAGATAACATCCCAACAGGGGTAAAAGTCATCCAAGCTATACAGAAATTAAAAGAAAACAAAGCTCCTTTGGCAGATGGCATTCCTTCAGAACTTTTAAAGCAAGTCAAAAAACATACTGTATATGTAGACTGGTAGAACTAATTAAGAATCAGTTATGTAACATAACCAAAAACTTACATCGGTCAAACTGGTAGAAACTTTGATAAACGAATAGCAGAACATAAAAGGGCTTTCAAGAATAGAAAAACAGATTCGACATACGCACTTCACCTTCTAGATCATAATCATTCTTTTAATGACAAACTTAAAATTCTTCACATTCAAAATAAAGGCCTTAAGCTTTCTTTGTTAGAATCTATGGAAATCAAAAAAATAAAAAACACAGATATAATACTGAATGACCAACTTGAGACAAACAGTTCTCCCCTCCTCAACCTATTTCATTAGAGACTATAAATTTGTAAACCCAAACCAAAAATAGATCACTTAAGAAAGGCAATCAGCCGAAACAGCTGTAGTTATAAGATTTAAAATAAATTTTGTGAATGTTTGAAAACAAAGTTTTCAGTGTTTTATTGTTACATTAAAAAAAATCAGTGAAATATGGCTTATACTAATCAAATATTCATCTTTCACAAGGCAGAGTAGGACTCAAAATAAAAGGAGATATGTTTAGCGCAATGAGAGACCTAGGAATACCAAATAAGTCAGTTAAGTGCAGGGTACGGATACAGAAATAATTGTTTGAACCCTTTAAAACCCAAAAGGATCTACTTCAATGTGATCCTCTCTTCTCTATACTATGATTGGAATCTAACAAAAAAGGCAATGAAAACAATTTAGGATGTTTTGAGAGCTAGGCACTTAGGAGAATTTAGAGATTGATGAATGACGGCGGTATTCATATACAACTTTAAACTGTATGGAATATATCAGCGATCAAAGAGAGATCAGAGAAAATAATGATTCAGTAAGAAATACACTCATTGATAGACCCAGTGGACAGAGAAGAAAAATAAATCTCACAAAAAGATTTATTAATAACATCGAAGAAGACATAAGACACCTACAAGCTTTTCGGAGGAAATCAATGGATATATAATAGTATTCTGGAGAAAAATTCTTGAAGAGGCTAGGACCCCTATAGGGTTGTAAATCCAGAATGAGATGATAACATGCATATAGAAATGTTAAAACTATTTTTATTATTAAAGAAATGTATTTTTCTTTATTTATACCAAGTTGATCAGCCATGTATACACACGCTCATGTAATCGTTATTCCGATAAATCACTAACTAGTTGTTACACAATAGATTTAAATAAATCCAAAGAGCGACATTCTGTATTAAATGCAGAAACCTGCTAGTATGCTCGGCAAGGTGCTATTTAACCTACTTATCAATAATCCTAACTTATAGTACAGTTTTTGAGTCCAGATTAAAAATGTCAAATATGAAAAAATAAAAATTTAAAAACTTTTAAAATTAACAATGTTGTAAATACTTTAATTGATACAGTGTGTACAGAAAGTATCGTAACTTACCGAATAATAATATTATTTCGATTTCTGATAGATTCACAAAAAAACGTTTGGAAGTGTTTTTGGATGTACATAGATATTTTATTTTATAAAAGATGGATTCTTTTGACATTTCTAGTATTAAGATTTAACCAACGTATTTTGGGTGGTGTTATGTTGCTTAAAACCGGAAGCCATTGGCTGTTGAATAAACTAATGCCAGAGAGCAGAGAGCAGAGCTATCTGTTCAGATTGTATCTTCCGTGGCTCTCCAAGAAGTGCTTGCAAGCTTGTGAATGATGCTATTGCGGGTTTTTATTTTAACTGCAGTTGTCTGTGTTGCTTGAATGTTATAGTGCGATATAGTGTTACAACTAGGTATGTTGGTTTTTTTTATTGTGTAAGTATAATTCCTTCGCTTTTTATGTCCAGCTTATGGTTTGTTTCGCAGCTATTTAAATAAAGATCAGTAACTTCTATCTTTGTCGGATTTGGTTGAAGTTTCCGTTTTTAAAATATGTGTTAATACTATTTTGGTCACCTTCGAGAATAGCTTGGGCCCTCTCGATGTTTCTATCTCGTATATTGCGTGAGGTTGTAGTGGGGGCGTCTGAGGTGTAAAGGTGAAGCAAGAGTGGTGATAGTACCGACCACTGTGGTAGGCCGTTCTGTAAACTTTTACATTTACTAGTTTTTCCATTATCGTAAATTTGAAATTATCTAACGTACTGCATTTGATTTGTTATATTTTGAATTATTGATTACTAGGTCATTCAATGATTAGCATGGTACCATCAGGTACAATTTAAGTAGTAGGTTTTTTTATATTGTGTCGTAGGCGCAAATCAGACCAATAAAAGATGTTGCCGTTTTGATTTTCTGTTGGAAACCATTTACAATAAATGTTGTTAAAGAAAGAAATTATTCTCTGCAGTTCCTTCCTGTTATAAATCCAGCATGTTCTACAGAAAATTTTTGCACTGGAAGAGTGCAAAAGCCTCGCGTAGATTATTTCCTCAAACATATGATAACATATACTTGAAAGCGCAATTGGTCTGTAGCTTTGTGGTAGTGAACGGTCTTGGCCTGATTTGCAGATTGCAATGAATTTGCTTTGTTTGAATAGTTTAGGGAGATTTTGGTTGTCATTAATCTAGTTAAAGCAATCTAGGCGCGACTTTCTAGTTTTTGAACCAGTATGTTTTATGAAACTGTTATGTGTAAAGTTAAGGTTTTCGAGAGTTTCTCTTCACCTGGTGGTTCTTGTAGAATTCAGTGACTCTAGAAATTCTTAACCTCCCTATGGATTTTAGTTTGCTCATACTGATCATACAGATCTTTACATTATTCGGTCCAGCATGAAATGTAGAGTTTGGTTACACCGCGTGGAATATGTTTTTAGCAAAGCTGACCATAAGTTTAACCAATCTTTCGTAGTTTTGTATATTCGGCTTGATGTGTCTGATATCCTTCTCCAATTTAAGCTTAACGCTTATCCCTTTTGTCTTGAGAAAGTTTCATCTAGACAGATTGATTAAGTTCATAATAGAAATAGGAATACCAATAGTTTTTTTATTGATATATTCGATTTTGGCAAATTATCAAAAACTTCTTTAGTGTCATGGTTATGGCAATCGCCTTTAGGGGATGTAAATCTTAGTTCTGAGTTGTAGCCTTCTTACTATCTCGCGAAAAAAGCTGGTCTACATGATGAAAAAGTCTAAGATGATTGAGCTCCGCTCGATATTCGGAAATAAAAAATGACAACGTAATATTTATTTTACAACGTCTTTTTCTATTGTAGTTTATGAAGTGACAATAATGTAGAACTTAAAAAAAATATTTGCTGCAACACATTGTTTTAAAATTTTTATTATATTTTATTTTCTTACAAATTCTTGGATATAAAAGTTATAATATCTCGTCTTTTTCTAGACGTACTAGTTTTTCTGCCTTATTCCAAATACTCTGACACACCTTCTCATCAAACATGACTTTAGGCTTATTTAGAGGTTTCAGGTCTGCGAAAAATTGTCCGGTAACTCCTTCAGCTTCTTTAGCACAAGCTAAGTATATTGCCGTCTGACATCCATCTTCAGGACTCTGAAAATTCAGGAAATATATTTAAACAAATAATTAATGGTCATATATTATATGGTATGATGTAGAATAATTAAATTATTATATATTTCAAGTAAAAGTAACTAAAGAAATCGAAGAAGCGAGCCGATTCCAATGGAAATGAATGGAAAATATCATCATACATTTTTTATACATGATATTATCTATTTACTGTTATTGGAGTAGTCAAATACAAAGGATACAAACTGAAGACTACCAGATGAGTAATAAATTACTGCAAAGTAACTGGAAGGAATAATTTTTAATTCCGATTATACATTTGAAGTTTACCCAGGCAAGAATACCATTACTGCCTTTTTGATATTAATGGCATATAATTTTTCAAATTTTTGCGCAGAAAACTATATGCCATTCTTCATGATGTACGTCTAAATTTAAGTCAGAAAATGTGGATGCAGTTGGATGGAACCCTCGCATATTATCAACTTCAGATACGGAAATGCTTGAACCAGCTTTTTGGTAACAAATAGATTGGAAGAGGTGGTGCACATAAATGACCTCCAAGATCTCCGGACTTGAAACCGATGGACATTTTTTTCTGGGGATACCTACAGAGTATAGTGTATGACACCTCACCGATTGCTCCAAAAGATCTGAGAACTAGAATCAGATCTGTCACTGAACAGTGACGACGAAACGATCTTTTTTAAAACGAAATAAACGAATTATATTTTAGAAAAAGTTGGGCGCCACTTTGAACAATTTCTTGATTATTAAATTTTAGCTGTTTGTTGCGTTTTTATTTTAAAACGTTTTTAAATAAAAAACTTATTTCAAATTACTCTTATGTATTAAAGGCATATGTATTAAGTAAAAACAATAAATAACAAGCCATATTATTGAAGTGGATAATACTATATTCTAGATAACACGAGATCATGATCTATAAAAGAAGATAAGTAAAGAGATTGAGCAATAATCGAGAATAAGAACAACAACTGTTTTAGAACAAAGAGGTTGATGAAGAGAGATAAAAGTAATAATGTAAGACATTTTATATTAATAAAAATTATTTGTATGAATAAGATAATCACCTTTAAAAATTTTAAATTATACTTCGCAAACTTCGATATAACAAAATATTTTAAAATACGAACACTGGAACTGATGTCAACAAAGTAAATAGTACTTAACGAGACATCTAACGGCGAAATATTGAAGGAATTGATATTTACGTCCAAACCTATCAAATAAATATCTATGTTAGTGGCAAAGCAAATACAAGACTTTTAAACTAGATGGCGCGACACTACGAAAATAAAACCCACCATTTATATCACACAAATTTTAAATTTTATTATGTTATATTATATTATTGTTAAGAAGTATAAAGTCCATGTTTATGCAAGAATAATATGCAGTTAACCTAAAGAAATTTAAAATATGATAACCCGTGGTAAGAAAATAATACATATGCTGCAGACAATGGAAATTATAAATCGGAATTTTAAATGGAAATTTAAAATATGATAACCCGTGGTAAGAAAATAATACATATGCTGCAGACAATGGAAATTATAAATCGGAGTTCTGATGGGGAAGTGCATGATAGTGAAGAGAAAGAAGGTAAAACATCTATATGTTAACTTAGAACTGCAAATTTTCGAAAATGAAAATTTAGCTTTGCAATCTATATCCACTTTAATAAGTTTTTAGGCTGATTCTGATCTTCTTCTTCTTCTTCTTCTTCTTCGTGCGACTAGGATTACTGCTGTTTGTCTGCCTCTTATTCTGTTTCAGTCGTTGTTGACTATACATTATCCTTCCACCTTTTTGGTGGCCTTCCAACGAGTCTTCTGCTATACGGCTTGTTGCTTTTACAGATGTTCGCTAATCTATCTCGTCCCATTCGATTTATATGTTCGTTCCAGTTTTTATTCTTGTTTTTATCCACCTGTTAATATTTTGAATTTTGCATTGTTCACGTATACTTCTGTTGGTTTGTCTGTCTCTTAATGATATGCCCGCTATTAATCTTAATACTTTCATTTCGATATTGTTGATTTGTTGTTTCGTCTTTCTTGTATCAGTAATTGTCTCCGCTGCATATGTTAGGATTGGTCTTACTGTTGTCTTGCTTTCCGTGATCAGATATTTGTTTCTCCATATGGTTTCTCGGAGGCAATCACTTACTCTTGTCGCTCTTGATGCTTGCCTTGTGGTTTCTGTTCTTATATCATTGTCACTAGTGATCTCTACTCCTAGGTAATTGAACTTCATTACTTGTTCTACAAGTATGCCGTCTATTTCTAATTTGCATCTACGTGGCTCTTTACTGATCACTATACATTTAGTTATTTCTACTGATATTCTCATATTAGGTTTGTTTGTGATATTGAAGGTGCGGTGCTGCCTTTGTAGGTCATCTTCGTTATCAGCAATTAGTACTGCATCATCGGCATAGAATAGTATCGTGATTTTATGCGCTCCAATGTGGTATCGTGTCGTTTTCTTACTTCGTGAATGATTTGATTCATCACCCAATAGGTTTAGCGACTCTCCTTGGTGAATTCCTTCTTTAGTTCTATGCATTCTGTTTCTCCTGTTGGCATTATGACTCTGGTCTTGTTGTTCTTGTTAATTTTATTAATTGTTCTTATTTTCTGATAGTCTATTTGTTCAGCTTGTAATAAATTTAATTTCGCTTTACCCTGTCAAGGGTGATTCTGATGACTCACTTAAATATCTTGACGTTTGACAGTATAGTTCATAAGCTAGCGATGAATCAGAATCGGATAACAGTCTCAAAGCTACTAAGAAGAGCTCTAACAATAAGAACATTACTACAGCTGCTTCAACAGGTGCCATAGCTTCAAGAAGTTTTTGTCATACCTTGCGGTGAAAATTACGATGAAACTTATAATGCTAAAAAGGAAATACTGAGAAAAAAGAATGATGAAACTAAACAAAGGAACGAACAAAATGCTTAGAAGCAACGGGACAAACACTACATATATTCGACTTGGGTGCGATGTGTGCCATAGGAAATGTAAAACATTGTTTAATGAGAATAAGCGGGTATCAATAAACAAGCAGTACTGCCGATAAATTGGCTAGAGAGAAGGATTTTTGTTTCGTGAAATGTGACAATGTGATGTTTCGGTAGTGTAGAAAGTACAGTACTGCGCGATATTAATAAAAAACATTTCATTATTTTTTAAAAAGAAATGGTAAAAGTCTGCAAAATTTTTTTTCTATGCACTCTAGGATATCATTTAAAAAACCATAAAACCATCATAAATCTTATGGCGAAAGAAGAACCTGAGAATATTGTACTTTTATTTGACAGATGACGAAAACATACAAAAACACCCCGAAACACACCGAGTGTAGACAGGGAATTAATACGAAAACATGTTGAATCTTTCTATGTTTCTGTGACCCATTAACGCAGAGAACATGCTCCCCCAAGAGATATCTACCGAGTGATATTACCATTCTAAGTATGCATAGAGATTTTATTACAGTTCATTAAAATATAAAGTTTTCATAATGAACTATACAGAAAATGTGTATTTAAGGATTTAAACATTTCTTTTACATCGTTGGGCAATGAGGAGTACGAATTGTGCCAGAGTTTTAAGCTTCACAATCCCTAAACAAACCAAACAGTCATTATCGGAGGACTGTAGTAACTGTAACTTTTGGAAATAACACATCAAAAATACTAAGGAAGTATGTGTAAAGTCCAGGGCTGATACAGTGCATGATTTTCCATCAAGCACAGTTTATGTTTCACCTGACGTTCAACAAGGTTGTGTTTTGCCAAAAAAATATAGTTTTCAACGAAACCTTTGTAGACGTCGGCTAAAAACAGAAATTTAAATCTTTTGCATGTCTCTGTCATGAATTTGTATCAGGAAGGAAAAAGAAGACTTGATAAGTACATTTCACGCATTTATGTTTCACATGCGTAATGTAGAACCTGTGCAGGCCAAAACAAGAATTGGTCACTGTTCTCATACTTAATATACATTTTTAATTTTAATATAATTGAAGCACAAAAAATTACTTTTAGATATCTTAAACCAGGTTAAGATATCTGAATCCTTTATGTCAGCTGACAGTTTTCATCATCAGGTGGAACACTCTTTCCAGCTAATGAAAAAGCTGTATGACTTCACTGATTTTGTGTCTTGCGTTCAGTCAGCTAATTCAGGAAAGACCAAATAAATGAACCTGGAAGATTTCTTTCTTTGGCAGGTCAACTCCTCAATTTACAAAATAAACTATAAAGCACCTCGAACCTACTTGAAAGACATAGTTGAAGTTGTTGACAAGAGAGGTATCTTTAAATTATTTTATAAAGCAAGTTTTGTTTACAAAAAAGTAACCAAGTCTGGCTTTAAAGAATTTGTCAGCATTTCAAAACCAAGAAGAATTACAGATGAAAGGAAGCTTATTATATTATATCTAAGGAAGCTTACAAAATAAGTGGATTTTGTGTTTTTTTTAATAATTAATACTTAATCTGTTTTGACTAATTATTTGTTTTTCAACCAAAAGTAGAATTAAACTTAATTATGTTATAAGAAAGTTCTTAACTAATAAAGTTAATAAAACTAAATGATTTTTTGTTACCGTGGTTTCCGTTGAAGAAAATATTACACTAAAAAGCAGTAACCTTAAACTAATTTAAGTTACTGTGTTTTATGTAATTAATTCTTACCAGTTGTGATAATATACCTTGCTTAAGTGATTCTTACCAGTTGTGATAATATACCTTGCTTAAAAGCAGTGTCTGCTATTTTTAGTAAAATTTATAAAAGTATCTTATACCAAAATAAACTTATTCAATGATATGCAAAGGAACTAGAACACAGTTAAACAATTCCAGAATCCATAAATATTTTCATAGTGACTCAGCCCTGTCAAAATCTACAATCTCTTGAAACATTTGATACATTTGTGAAAATACTGCTTTCTAAGGACGGCAGTATAGATATTTTGAGTTTTTAGTC